AACCAAAGATTACCTTCCTACTCAAATAGACGCCTCTTAATAAACTTACCGTCCTTAGCCAATCGTAGAACGATGCTAGAATCATGATACAATTTTACAAGGTAGTCTCGTCGGCAAAAGCACTCCCCTATTCATTACTCACAACAAGTGCGAGTGAGAGGAGTCTGCGTAGTAAGTGCGAGTGAAACGACAAAAGAGCTTTTAGTTTAGATAGTCCATGGTATACATATATAGTAAAAAGAGTTGAAGTGTTTTATAATTTAATTTTTAAAAGTTTTGAATTTGAAATTAATCGTTGTTTTTGTATAGCTATTTTTTTGTTTAAATTCTTAATTTTAAAATATATGCGAATCTATAAGTAAAATTTTCTTATATCTAATTTAATGTTTATATTCTTAGCAGCTATTAATAGTTTCTCCTTAACGTTTTTTGTAGTACTAAAATAATCAGAAACTATATATAAAAAAACAATATCCATCTCCTTAATTTCCTCCCACAATGTCCACTTCGTTAAACATTTTGGTGCTTTTATCAATTTTACTCCATGCACGTGCTTCCGACAGAAATTGCAGAACGACATCTCACACAAGGGTTAATAATAAAAAAATCGTCCGCACACAACCTTTTCCTTTGTCAAACGAGAACGCACTGACAAAAAGCCGTTGACAGCCGACGAGACTACCTTGTATAATTCTACCATGCTAGGAATAACCTTTATTTATAACCTTATCCATGGTAATGTGGAAAGTGCTGACTTGTTGAGTCAGCTCAATTTCATGTACCATGTAGAAATACTAAATCCTATATACCATTAGTGTTGCGTCACTGTAGAACCTCCTTCGAACTGCATGAACCTTTTAGAGTCTTATGTGCAAATTATAATGATTTGTACACACTAATCTCCAACGTAGATACCCCTCCCAATTGAATTTATTGACCGTAGTGCATCAGTCCAGAAGATCTAACGATCGTTTGTTTGGCACCTATATCTTTCTATTTTCATAAAATTTGACACAAAATTGTAGAATAATATAGAATGGCTATATCTCAAATTTGATGGAAATCTGTTGAAAACTGAAATTAAAGTTTTTAACTCTATAAATTTCTCTATCGTTCCTGTGACAGCTATATGATATAGAAGTCCGATTTTTATAAAATTTTAAATTTGAAATTGAAAATCTGTTAAAAATAAAAATTGAAATTTGTTTTGAAAAAATTTTCAGATTGTTCCTATGACAGCTATATGATATAGTCATCCGATCCGATCCGTTCCAAAATACTGAGGGACTAGTTTGCTTACAAACGGACAGACGGACATGGCTGTATCGACTCGGCTGTTGATGCTGATCAAGAATATATATACATCAAGATCAAATATATACCATGTATACATGGTCAGAGGTGCCTCCTTCACTGCGTTGCAAACTTCTGACTGAAATTATAATACCCTGCATGGATATAAAAACGAAAACAAAAGTTTCGTTTTCTTTAAACCCTTTTTAACTTTATTTCTATGACAGCTATATAATAATCATACAATTTTTATAAATTATCTTATTTCTCTGAGTAGATAAAAATATTTTGAAAATCAGTGGATATAATTGTTCCTATAGCAGCTTTGTGATATACATAATTAGTCCATTTTCATAAAATGTAAGTCGAAATTGTAGAATATTATAATTAGAATGTGATTCTCAGTGGAAAGAGCGACGTAAGGCTTATTTATTTTTTTTTTATTTTTCTTCTTTTTCGTGCATCTGTATTAAAATAAAAAATTTCTTTTTTTAATATGTGCTTCTTTTTTAACGAACTAGACTTGATTTAAAAATAAATTTCCAAACGATTAATCCGAATGCTTATTAATGATGCAATTCTAATTACAAGAGTATACAGACATTGGTGTTTTGAAGTTTGCTTCCTTTCTTGATCCTCATTGTTTTATGACCGTTGGGATTACTTGGATTGGTAATCAGTTTCAATGGTATTTCCTAACAAAAAGATTGGAATCGTGCAAAATATTTTAAGCGATTTCTGTTTGTATTCTGAATGTTTGATGCCACCATCGAATCCCAATTTTCCGATCAAAATTTAGTTTTTTCAAAAATTGTAATTATTATTTTTTTTCCCAATATTCCAGTGTTATTTACTTTTACTGTTCACCATGGATTAAAAATATTTATGCGCGCAAATACACACTTATGAAGAGCGCCTAAAAAGTAAATTATAACGAAATTAATAAAATAAAAAACATGTAATTTCGGCTAATCGAAGTTTGTATCTTATAATGCCAACTTTTTCTCCTAATAAAAGCCTTATTTCATTAATACGTATCATCACGTTTTGAATAAAGGTTCTCTATCTCTCTCTCTCTCTCTCGTGTTCGCCTTTATTCACTACATCTACGGGTCGTGGTCATTGAACCCAATTCTAGGCTATATCCCAGGCAGCATCCCTTACGGACCAGGTTAACAATGAATCAATGAATCTTATCGTTTAAGAACCAGTTTTGTCCGTGGCGCTGTTCTGCAATTTTCGGCTGGGCTGGCAATTATTTCCGTTCTGCGGAGTTTTATGGTCCGAATAATTTATCCTTAAATAAGGGTTGTTTTGAAGTTGTAAACGTATTTATGTATTTGTTGAATTTAGCTATCCAGTTTAATTTATAAGCAAATAACACATTTAGTTCCCTACCAATGTCTATTTTATAGGGTACAAGGTTATTATAACTTAATGCAAACCGAGGATGTACTTATGTATGTTTGCATGTACGTAATAGTCTGAAGAAGGCATCTTAACCCGCTTAAAGTATGCTCCTACATATTTTTTTAAGCATGACTATGTAATACCCAAAACAGTACCAAAAAAAGAATTGTGTAAAAATTTTAATTAAATGGGATCATACCGTCAAAATAAAACACTACATAGTATGTCAATTATCGAAATAGAAACAATTATAACCTGGTTTAAGCTAACGCAAGGAAGGTTCAAACCCCACAAAGAAGTATTAAATAAATGTAAATTCTTAATTTTATGTAATGAATTATATGTTAATTGTGCTAATACATAAAATGAGATAGACGACAGTAACTACAGATAAAGTGTATTTGGCCAATTTTTAATTTAACCGAAAATATTTTTATATATGGGCAATTCTCTGGTTTCGAATGCGACATTCGTACGCATTCAAACTAAAAAAAAACATGTAACAAGACTTTATTTTAATTTTACAAAATTTGAAACGTATAATATATAATTGGTGCTAAGATCGATTTTGGGCCCTTATTCGTTTTCAAGACATTCACTAAAATGTACTGCATTCGCACGCGACAAAAACACTTTATATTGACTCTGCATTCTCTGTGTGATATTAGAAAGCAGAAGTAAAAGCAAAATGCTTTTGGCATCAAAGCAAAACATGGAATGTTTTATGACTTTTTTTATAAAACAACTTTATTTGCGTTTACGCGTGTTTGACATCGATTTTTTTGAAATTTATTTTGGAAAATGAAAAATTCTCTTAGTCTTGATCAATCTGACCAATTTTTTATGTAACCATGCTAAAAATACTCGTTTTTAAGCAATTTTTAAGTTGCCCATATGTGAAATGCGGACATTTTATTCACCAAATACATAAATAATAATATAGAACCTCTCATATGTCAATATGTCTGTATAAATTGGCTATTTATGTATACCAGTCTTGTAATTATGTTGTAAATTTACCCTTTTGCTGGGTATAATAATTTCAAGAAGACATTTCAGACCACATAAAACGTATATATTCTTGATCAGCATCAACAGCCGAGCCGATCTTGCCATGTCCGTCTGTTCGGAAGTCTGTCCATTTCTGCAAAAATTAGTTTCTAAGTTTTAAATCTATCTGAATGATATTTCTCCATATACATACTCTTTTCGTATATAAGTCAATTGTCTTAATAATTAAGAATTTTGGATTTAATTTAATGAAATCGAATGACTATATCATATAGCTGACATAGAAATGATCGTTTAATTTAGAGGAAAATGCAAAATTGTCAACGAAAACCGTAAATATTTGTATAGGTGAATGTAATGAGGAGAGGCATTGCTTCAATGTTTTTTTAATATAAATATGTATGTATTATTTATATAATATTTATTATCAATGATCTAATGTAATGCTCAAGTTCTAAGCTTCCTTTCTTGTTTTACATAAATATATCGACCTAATTGCAGTCTGCAAGAGTACACAAACTTCAGCGTACCAAAGATAGCTTTCTGTCTTGTGTTTGTATTACTTCGGAACTTAAAAGTAAGTTTTATGAAAATCTATTAATATGAAAGGAATGTGTATGCTACTTCTTCAGCATTTAATCTTAAAATAACAGTTTAGAGTCAAGTCTACTAAAGGTTAAAGGTTAAAACATAAATTTAAAGGAATTAAGTAGGAACTATTCTTTGAACTACTGAAATACATTTATAATGTATATATATACTTTTCAGAAAGTTTTGCGGTTTAGTTAGTGCAAAAAAAATTGTTGTTTTTATTCTCCCTAATAATAGTATTACAAAACCACCATAAAAAATTTGTTGGTACGTTTTGGTTTTTTCTAATCCATCAATTGGTGATACCTGATCCTTTTATTATTTCCTGTGCCAGGATTTTGTGCATTTATTGTTTCGGAGCTCTTCTTTTGGAAAGTACGAATCCTGTCAAGGCTTATCTTTGACGCAGCTTTAAGATCTGCATGACATATGTATTTCCAGATAGCTTTCTATACCCCTAGCTTGCTATAAGGGTTCGGTAATGTCTCCCTCACTGCGACAATACTCTTCGTTGAATAATTTTTAAAAATTTCCCTTAATTACAAGAAAAAAAGGTTTTTCAAACTAAATAAATGTTTGATTACTATTGTAATATCTATAGATTCGAACATACCTATTGGTTAATTTGAGGAAGATTAAACACATGGTCGACCAGTTTTTTATTTTTAATTTTTTTAATTGTATTTAGTTTAGCCTTTTTTTTAAAGTATGGCTATTTAATTCGAATAATTAACATGTTCAAAATGGAATAAATTTAAGCGTTGTTTTACATTTCAATATAAAACTAACCACAAACCAATATTTTCCGTTTTATTCGAAACAATTCGTTTTGGTTGAATCCTTAAATCTAATAAGATCTACAAGATGATCAGCATATACGTAGTGTATTCGTTGTAAGAGTATAGTTTCATGTGATGAGGCGTTTAGCCGTTTATGTATGACTGATCTACGAATGATCGAACTAAAACGAAATTAACATTTATCGTGTATTATTCTTAATCTCTTACTTTTATTAATTTCTATTTGTTGTCTTTTCTTAAAATGTAAGTTCCTTGTTGTAAATGAGAGCAGAGGATTTTTTTTATTGATTTAACCATTCTTATAGTTGCTTCATTGATGTTTTTGGTATGGCACTGATTTGGTATTGGCAAGTAGGTTTACATATTATATGGCAAGGGCAAGGGTAGAAAACTTTCCACGTATTTTGCTTTGAGCAGCTGCATCTATGATGATGAGCCTTTCATGGCTAATCAAACTACACACAGAGATTTCGGCACACTTTTCGACAGGCTTCTTACTTGGCAGCCCCCTCGCATTGCTGCATTTGCACTAGCAACAGGAGAATGCGGTTCATTAGGTTGTCCGCCTCTGAGTCCTCCATGCTGTTAAGTTTTGCCGAGATGAATCCACAGAACTTGGAGTTGAGAACCTCGCGTACAGTTTGCGGAGGTGGCAGATCTAGGCCTTCAGGGACACCAGAACTTTGCTGTTGACGCAAATGCCTGTGTTGTTGCAGCATTTGATCCTCGTAATCGTCCCCATCGACTATGGCATCACCATCTCCGTCCTCCAGACCGTCGTGGTCGCCGTTGCGACGACGCTTGCATGGCAGACCCACCTCGTCGACGCATGCATTTGTGCCCACCGGCGAATTAGAATCAAGAATGAGCGGATAGGGAAAATCAGCGTCTATAGCGTCTAGCTCCTCCACTGCGTCAGATCCGTTGCCGGCGTCCTCGTCCCCGCTGCGCAGTGAGCTAGCATCCATGTCCTCGTAATTATGCTGATGGTGTTGGTGTTCGTTACGTGTTGAGCTCACCCGGCTGTCGTTGGGCGCCGGGTGCTGGTGGGCTGGAAGCGGCAAAGTAGGTGGAATGCCGCTTCCCCCACCAGAGCTACTGCCACTGCTGCTGCTGCCAGCCCCGCCACCCGCCGAGAGATCCAGCTCTGGCTTCACGTAATAATCGCAGTAGTAGTCCTCACCGCTCACATTTAGCGATGAGCACTTTGAGAGATTTAGTACTGCAGCTGACTCGTTAAAGGACGATGATGAGACCTTCAGGGACGTTGCCTTTCCTGCTGCTCCCACGACCCCGTGGCTGTTATTATTGATATTGTTATTATTATTATTATGCATTTGAGCGTATGCGCTTAAGCTCAGATCGGTGGCATGCGCTGCGCCCCTGAAATAGGCCAAAATAGAGAATAAGTCAGTACCGCATTACATGTTATTAATATACATATAATAATTTGAGTTACTTAGAATTCATAATAATTTGTTTTTGGCAGTAAGATTAATATTATCTATCCTTAAAATGAACTTTACAAGCGTGTTGAATTAAAAACTAGTTGACCTATTTCTAAGTTATGTTTTTAATTTAATGTTCATTATTCTTCACAAAATTTGAAATCCGATTTTTTTTTTTGCAATTTAAGGCGACATTAAAACGTTAATACCCTTACGTTACGTTTTGTTTGATAAAATATCAAATAAAAATCTCGACTCAACTATGAAATTTACGTTATCAAAAGCATGCATCCAAGCTGGTACTATTTATACTAGTATATTTACCATTTTTACTATCTAAAGGCTATGTGGTATAATTATAATCGCATCTGAAAGTTTCGTAGTTAAGGTTTGATCCATTTAATATTTTGTTAAATAAATAAATAAATGCAAAAAGTAGTTTCACCAAGCTAAAGCTCGCATGCATACTCTTGATATATTTGACCGTTTTTTGTTTAAATAAGGGACTTCAACTTTTAACTCGTATATGTTTATATATGGATATATTTTAAACAATATGCATACAAAACTATTTTTTATTACACATTTTCATATTAAAATTAAAGAGGATATACCCTATTCTACCAAATATATTATTTATTTATTTCTTATTATTTGCTTAGCTGTCTTTAGTATTTTTCGCACAACTTTCTCAGATATTTTGCAGGATTTTAAAGTTAAAAACGAAGTGTATCGATTTTCAATTAAATTAACTAAATTAACTCGGTTGTAACATGAACACATACATATATAAAAGCTTCAAAAGCAACTAGTTTTATTAATTTTGTTTTTTCAATAAAGATGTTATTTGGTGTGTATAAAGAAAAAATATTTGAAAACAAGAGAAAAGAACGCAAAATCACCTAAATTTAAGTGCAATTTAGATTTCTAAAAATGTTCAATTCTCTTAAGAGAGGTTTCAACTGTTATTTCTATATAAGTAAATTGGGGTTGGAAATCTTACCTTTAATGCATTAAAAAAACTTAAATAAAAAAAAAACTTAAAACTTAAAGAAAAAAAAGTCAAACGCTAAATCTAGCAAATATACGTTTTGAAAAATATTTTGATCTCAAATAGTTGATAAACCACTCCATTGAAAACGTGCTCAAACAAAACCACAAGGAAAGTTAGACAGAATGCAAGAAGATGAAGAGAAGATTTTTAATGCCCCTGGTTCGGGACCCGTTTCCTGTCACTGCTTCTCAAGTTTCAAGAGCATTTCCCAGACAATGCAGCTGCCTATCCCCGAACAAGACAGGACGTTGCTATTCTTGGCCTTCCCCATTTGTGTTAAAAGGGAGTTTGCCAAATGCCGCAGCTTGGCCCAGTTCGCTTGGCCACGACGCGTTCATCCCTCCCGCTGTTCGAATATATCACGAAGCCGTCTCAGGTATTTGACAACAGGAAAACTCGTAAGCGATATGCGTCTCTCGCAGGACTAATCACAATTAAATGCATTTTCACATGCTCCACAATCGGGAACGGATTTGCTTGTTTGCTGCTCCTGAGGTCCCTCACTTGGTCTGGTTTCTCCTCGGTTTTGAGTCGCTGTCCTTATCAATATTTGCTTCCGCTACGGCTTAGGCCTGAAGCCATTTTCCTAGTCTGCGGCTGTGTCTCAGATATTTCAGGGCTGTGTGTGCTTATCGATATGGTTATTTTGTTTGCGGCCAAACTAAAAAGATCATGATTTGGGAATGGCTATGGTGGCTGAACACGGGCGCACAAAAGATTGTAATATGTACTAGAAATATGAAATATGATTATAGTGCATGAGAAAATTATTTAATTGTGGATATTAAAAAAAACGACTATTTCAGAGTTTAATAAAAACATAATAGATAGGAAGTTAATTGTTATTCATTTTCAGAAAAAATTAATATGTATTATAAAAAATACATATTTTGAGAAACAGTGTTCATGGTAGATAGAGAACAAAATTATAATCTATTGCTAAGATCATAACTATGCAACATAAGTTAATTAATAATAGTATTTAGTAATTTTAGAGCACATCAATAATAAGATAATTTCGTGTGATTTAAAATAAGATTTAATAAATAGAATGACGATTGGTAAAGTTTCGATATCTTTAAAGCTAAGAAGGGAAAATGGGAAAATTTGGACGGATTGGTCCCCAGATCCTTCTTTAACTTTGTTATTTTGTTACAACACAGTACTTGGGTGTAACATATGTAAGTATTTCTTAATCTCGATCTATAACATTTGGCATTTCGTTATTGTAATTACTTGTACACGTTTATGCTGTAGGACCCTGAACCCCAACCTGGCACTGCTCTCGGTGACGCATTGGTGGAATTAGTCCGAGGCGATGATTTTGGGCGTGGTGCCGGACTTGGCCAGCGGATGGTATGGGGTGTTCACGAACAAGGGGTGCGCAACAATTTCATCAATTTCGCAGCTCATTTGCTTATTAAATCATAAGCGTGACACAGACCAGCTCAACGTACATTCGCTCTCTTTCCAGGGTGTGTGTGTGTGTGTGTGTGTATGTATGCATGTGGGTTCCAGATCGCGAGAGGAGGAGCAAAACGATGAATGGCGAGGGGAGACAGAGACCCAAAACGGCTGCAAAGGCAGAGGCGCAGGCGGTAACGGAGCAACCCCTTAGCCCGACTGATGTAGCTGTAGCTAATGGTCGTGATCATATTTTTAACCCCGTCCGAAGCCGAGCCAAGCGCTACGTTCAATTGCTCAGGCAGACACATTCTCATTCTCCCCCAACCCACTCACGAAGTATTGCACTCTCTCACTCGCATTCGCTCCCGCTCTCTCTTCTAAACTTGGTCCACTCGCGCGAGTCGCGATCCGTATTCTTTGCTGATTGTCATTTTGTGGTGTTCTCATTAATTTCTCGCTCTCTCGCCGCCTCTCCCTTCTCCTGGCGAACAGCCAGCATTTGCAGCTTCCCTCAATTTTGTTTTTGGTTCAAGTGGCGATGATGCCGCACCGCCGTATAATATTTGCCGCTTGGCGAGATCTGTTTTATGGCTATGGCTCAGGCTGCTTTGGGCTGTGGCCATAGCTCTGGCTCCGGCTACGGCTCAAGCGCTGTCCGAATGGCCGGGCCCGTTGCGATGTCTGTTATCAGCTCGAAATAATAAAAATTTAAATATATACATACACACACACAGTCACTACTTTGTTTGCGTGTGTGTGCGTGCGGGCATGTGTCGGGGCCGTCGACTGCTTGTTGCCCATGTGGGTACAGTCAATTGAAAGGAAATGGCCTTATTTCATATAAATATGTACATAAAGTACAACACACACACACACATAGACGCGGAGCGCGGGTACGGCTCCATATGAGCCAGAACATTGGTCGGGGGCAGACTCTCGACTCAGACCATTTGCGGGTCTCGAGCGCGGTCATTCCTTTGTTCGCATTGGTTTTTTCCACATTACCGCTTTCCAGTGTCCATATGCCCTTGTGCGTTGTTTTTGTTATTGTTTTCCTCTGGGCAGATGTTTTTCTCAGACAGCAGGACTGAGATTTGTTAGAGTTCCTTTGCTCTTATGCAAATCGACAGGGCCAAGGGGTCCCCCTTATATCCGCCGCAGATCGCCAGGAACTGCCCATTTTTATACCCGCTGCTACTCATAGTGTATGATACCATGTTACTAGCGACCGAGAGGGTACGTACATACGTATGTATGATGTACATATATAACAGGCAGAGGAAAGAACCTTAGACCCCATAAAACAAATACATACATATGTACATATGTATGTATGGACATATATTCAGCATCATCATGCTGTGATTTAACCATGTCCATCTGCATGGTTTCAGAGACTAAAATATCAAGAACTTGGTTTAATTATTCTTATGAACATAAGTATGTATTATCTTTTTACACCCACTTTAGCCCACACAAAAAATATGTATTTAATCACCATGTATGTTTGACATACATATATATTTGACCAATTCACTCAGATGGTTTTGAACTGGGTCAAAACAAAATAAATCTTTTCTACATATATGCATATGTACATATGTATGTACATTTGTAAAAAGATTTTTTTTTTTTAAGTTTAATCCTACCCTTTGGCCGAAGGCCACCGCAGCCAGTGCTCGGTAATGTAATATTAAGTTTGCAAAGCTTAATTAGTTAAATAAATAAGAAAACTTAAGTAATGCAAAGATGGAAGCCTCCTAAAATATCACGAAACGAAAATCTCAATCCCCTTTGAGTTGATAAGATTCTTGGAATTACTCTGTAACTGCACTAAGGATGATAGCTGAAAACAAAGTAAACTGAAACCAGCTTGATATTGTTACAATATATATGAACAGCAACCACTGCTACTGGGTTCTCCACAACAGAAAGAGTTAGTCATCTAAGGAAAAGCTGGACTTAAGTTAAGTTTTCAATCAACCGTTAAACCGTGACAAGTCCAAGCTCAAAGCCCAAGACAGAGCCAAAAAAGCCATTTATTAATCATAACAGATTGAGCTGCACTTTGACCGCCCCTTATGACTCGATCGATAGTTGCTGGCTTATCGAACGCAATGTAATACTAGTAGGAAAATGTTTCCCTGACACGAATAACTCACGGGAGTAATGTCAGTGGTAACATTCATAAAAGCGCATTATTTTAAAGTAATATTCTTTGTGTTCATTACACCCTTTCAAGCTAAATGATCAAACACGATATGTAAACATAATTTTTTTGCAATATTTGAAATAGTTGGTTTGAAAAGGAATGAATCAAGAATTTCGATGGGAAACGTTATTATAAAACAAGAAAAAAAAGCTTATTTCGGCACGCTGAAGTTTTTTTACCCTTGCAGGTTGAAGGTTGATCACTAGGAATCAATACAATATACATAAATTATATAAATTTATGTAAAAAAAACATATTCACAGTTTTACAGTTACAGATTTACATTCACAGTTTTGCATTTTCCTTAATTTTTAACGATCGTTTGTATGACAGCTATATGATATAGTGTCCGTTTTTTATAAAATTTGACATAAAATTGTAGAATAATATAATAATAATAAAAGGTCCATATCTCAAATTTGATGAAAATTGGAAGAGTAAGAATTTTTTTTCTAAAAACTTTCCGATCGTTTGTATGGCAGCTATATGATATAGTCGTCAAATTTACATAAAATGAAATCGAAATTCTAGAATAATATAAAGGGGCTATAAAGAAAATTTGATGAAAATCTATTGAAAAGTGAAAGAGTATATGATAAGTAGTCCGATATTCATTTCACACAAAATTGTAGAATTATATAAAATGGCTATATCTCCAATTAATTAAACTCTGTTGAAAACTGAAAACGTTATGATTGTTTTTGTAATGTAATGAGGACTAACTGAAAGTTTCATTCAGATAGCTTCAAAACTAAGGGACTGGTTTGTGTAGAAACGGACAGACGGAGAGAACTTAAGTTTAAAATATGTATTTAAAAAATACAATATGTGTAAAGCATAGGAATGATTATTGATAATATATTCACTTTTTTGAAATAAATAATAAAACTATCTCCATGCATACTCACTTTCTCTCCCTGATGACATCTCGAAGGAAATCCATAGCTTCATAGAGGCTCCACTTGGGCTTAAACCCGTTTCCCATCAGCTTGACATGGGCCAGCTCCCTGCGGTAGGACTCTCGAAGGGACTTGAAGGCCCGTGCTACTCGGCGTCCGGGTGCGTTGAACTCGCGTCCAATATGCTCCCAGGCACGGCTTTTCTCCTCCTCGGCACCCTTGAAGTTTGGCAGACGGGAGTCCCAGAGGATCGGATTATCATGGACCATCTGGATGAGTTTCAGCTTGTCGGAGGCGTTGCGGCGCACCACTGTTAATAATGGGGATACAATAAGAATCACTTTTAGGTTGACATAAAACTATCTGATGAAGCAATTTAGTGTAGAATTGTCTTCAATCACTAAACTGTAAATAAAATCCATCAAACATATTTACACATATATATATATGTGTACATACATATGTATGTACATATGTGTAAATATTGCATTTTTTTGGTTGCAAACAGTTCTCGCAAAAAGTAATAAATTTGTTTTTACTTCAATCCGGAAATGTCTTAAAAACATTTTTGCCCCGAGCTCTATTTGAATTCAATTTAAACAAATTCCACGTTAATATAATGTTAATAAAAATTTTCTATATTCATAAATAATTTATAAAAAAATTTGTAAATGGTTCTATGGTTCTATTTTTTTTTAACTGTAAAAGAGTTCACATTATAAATAGGAAACATTCAGTCTATGTATCTCACTGAATTACACGAGCCGAAGGGATCTTATTGAACTTTATTATTGGCATGAGAATCGGAAATAAATACTCCCTTTCCCGTGGGGGATGAAAACTGTGAGTAAGTGCGTACGTTTCTTGATCTTCTGGGTGGGCAGGGCGGCGGCGGAGAGCATTGGATGGCACTCTCCCTTCGGCTTCATGTCTAGCGCGATGGCCGCAGCGGCGGCGCTCATGTCCTGCAGCGAGTGGGTGGCGGTGGGCGAGGAAACGGAAGCGGCGGCACTCACGGGGGCCATCAGGATGCGTTGGAGGGCGGCACAGGCGGATGGTTGGCTGAGCTCCAATGTCACTGCACTGCACTTATCGACCGTTAGGCCTTCACTCTTGCTTTCTTGCTGGGGATCGCGGGGTGACGAAAAATCTGAAAACGGGTCTTCTACCCTCTCACGGCCAGGTTTAAACAGCAACTAAAAACTGAAAACCAAAACCAAAAAATAACAACCACCGCCACGGGCAGAGCGACGCTGCGACAACGACGCAGCCGGCTGCGCTGTTGGGATCAAGCCCGCATTTCAGAGCCAGAAAATCACGCGCACTCGACATGAGAGCCAGCTCTCGGGCCTCTCCGCGCTCTCTCACCCTCTCTCGCTTTTGGCTTGCCTAGGCAGCACTGTTCCCGTTATCTGCGCCGGCGTCGCTGCCCCATTGAAACGATATCTGCAAGTCGGGCCCAGACGTCGACGTTATTCCAGGCCTGGTCACAAGCGCTCTCTTTATTCCACTCCCGAGAGCGGTTCTCTCGCTCGAGCTCGAATGGGAAAACGGCGTTTAATTGCAATCACAAACCACGGAAAGTAAAAGCGAGCGAAAAGCAGCTCCAACGCTAATACACACAATTGCCCATATACACACACTCACACGCACAGAAGAAAAGAACAAAACAAGAAAATGTGTGTAATATAAAAATCCGTAGACGCGTTCTCCTTTGGTTTTCAGTAGCACTCATTTATGTACATATATATGTACATGTATAGATACATATGTACATATGTACATACGTGCATTCTTATGTATGAATATGTTCGCCCTTCTTGTCGTCTACCGTGCAAGTACCGTTCACTTTCGGCTTATTGGTTGGGATTAGAACTAAATGCATCCATCCATACATACATACATATGTACATATGATACAAACATACATACATATTTATGTATGTATGTTTGTACAAAGTCGGTCAATTCTCCTAGAATGTACGCCGAAAATTCAGAATATGTATGTACATACATATGTACATACATAAAAAGGCTATCTGCAAAGCTAAAAAAAAAACTAAAAGAAGTGTGCATACTAACTTTTGATTCTCATGAAGATTGTAATTTTTGGGGTCGGAGATTACATACTTACATACAAACTTACATATATGTATGTATGTACATACATACATACATTAAAATAACACGTAGTATATATTTTCAAACATTTTAAGGCATTTACATGTAAGTAAAGTACATACATACATATGTACATGGGGGGTAGTCAAAAGTATTTACACAAATTCACAATTATTTTCACCGCCAAACTTTTTTAGTTGTTATTCTTTTTGTTGCTGACAGATTTTCGGGAAATTTTTTTTATTGCATCGATTAATCTATTCAGAAACAAGCAGAAAAGGAAAACAAGAGATAACGGTTCATAGGACAATGCTAAAGGCATAAGACAATATGTCTTATTATTTTGCATATAAGTACATATGTACATATGTACAAATGTATGTAAACTAAATTTTAATCAATTGAAAGCCTTCATCGATACCAAAGCAAATTTTTAAAAGTTTTAATAAAGTAACTTATGAGATTGTCGCTAAAAAAAATATTACATTTTAATACCATTAAACTTGAGACGAAAACAAATTACATATGTGTAAGTATTACACTATAGATGCATCTATTATTTTACTTATAGCATTTTTCTATGAACCGTTAACTTTCTAATTCCTTTTTGGCTTGCTTCTGCATAGATCAATCTACGCGATAAAGAAATCGGGGAAAATCGTTCAACAACAACAAAAATAACAACAATGAAATTTAGTTGTGAAAATGGTCGTTGTGTAAATACTTTTGAATACCTTTATACATATGTATGTATGTACATATGTACATGGATGTATGTAAATTTTGTATTCCTGGTACAGAAAGGGTCCAATCGCTTCTTGCAAACCGAGAATATACATATGTACATACGTATTTAAATATGTACATACATATGTACATATGCAAAAGGCAGAAGGATGTACTTTCGATCCTATACAATACATATATGTACATACATATATGCACATAGATTTATATATGTATACTGATGTATGAATTTGGCAATAACCTAATGTCAAAAAGGACAAAAATTAAGAAAGGGGGAAAAAATAATTTGCCAAGATAAACTTTATTAACAAAAACTGCATCAATATTGGTCAATTTTTCGTTTTTAATGTGTATGTATGTATATATACCAGTTAGTATACATACATACATATATAGAAGACTAACTGCAAAATTTTAATTGGGATATCTTCAAAACTGAGAGACTAGTTTGTGTAGAAACGGACAGAAGGACAGACGGAATGACGGCCATGGCTATATCGACTCGGCTGTTGGTGTTGATCAATAATAAATATACATATGTACTTTATATGGTCGGAGATGACTCCTTTAATGTGTTGCAAACTACTGACTGAAACTATAATACCCTTCAAGGGTATAAAAATGGGTAATGCATTTAACAAGCTTTAAATTTTTCTTTAATGTTAGAACAAAAGTTTTTAACCTACAGAAATTTCATTAGAAAACAAGACAGAAAACAAATTTCGGAAAGCCGAATTTAATTGATGATTAATTCAATTGTAATTGTATCATAGGATCTTATTGGAAATAGGAAGTTTAAAAAACTCATAGGTTTGCCAAAAATGCATTAATTTCATTTCGTAAAGCATTCCTACATTTGGTAGGTCAAAAAATCTGGACAGTTAAAAAAATTAAAATTTTGATGATTTATTGAAAACTTTAAAAATGTAACCCCTTTCCTTAAAAAAAAAAAAAATTGATGATTTTAAAAAAAAAGATAGTTTTTGACGGAGATTGCTTGAAAGATTCGCTGATTGATGCTGATTAAGAATATATGTATGTGTATGATTTATAGGGTCGGAAATGATGCCTTCACTTTTTAAATTTCAGACTGAAGTTATTACATATCTTGTTTACCGATTATCTTTTAAACAGATTTACATGTTTGTGGTATCGTTACACGCATTTTTAGAACCATGAATGTAAAATTAAAATAGTTAAATTACAAAAACATTTTTTTTTTTTCAACAAAATTTGATTATGGGAATACCAATTTGATTGGTGTAATAAATGTAAATCTTCCCTTTTCGTACTAGGACATTAGAAAAAAAACTTAAATTAAATTAACCATAATAAAATCTTTGATTGCGAAGAATTGCACTTAATAATTGCACAGCTACACATTTTACTAGACCTGGGTATTTATTAATGCGGGGTCTATTTGATAGCATTGGGTCCTGTTTAGGGAAATTTCAACGACTTTTTGAAATTTAAAATTTATACTGAGAAGTCAACCACATACATACGTACATACATACCTAGGTACATACATATGTATATATTATATACGAAGTTCGACCGTATCCGAATCGGGTAAGTGACGAACGTACCTACCCTGCAGTACCGTCATCAACAAAAAATCAACGTTTCATCAACAGTCAAGGGGGTGCTGTTGATTTTTCATCGATGACAGCCCATACAAACTGTTGATTTAAATAACATGGGTATGTCCTAGGCTCTCATCAATAATAAATCGATGATTCATCAACAAATTCATCATCAATTCATCGATGTTTTGTTCATGACACATCCATGAAACATCGATGTTTCATCAACAAATTTCTCAACGGCCGGGCCATGGTACTGCCGACGACTGCCGTCTAGACTACTGCCGTAACTGTATAGTGGGCAGAGCGTCGTTGTTGAAGTCGCAGTCGGCAGAGGGTCGATTCGGTAGAAGTCGCAGTCGGCAGAGCGTCGTCTCGGTAGAAGTCGCTGTTGGCGCGAGATGACTGTTGATGACAGTGGCCAATTGATGAAATGTGGTACTGCAGGTAATCTACACTAATTCGATCAGTCCGATCTTTATGAAATAGTATTGTAGAGCTTATTGAAAACGGCATACTAAGAATTTAAAAGCGGGTTAAAGAGAAATGAAACTGAAAGTGTGTATTTATTTTAAAAACTTGAGCTAATGGGGCCGTTGAATGAATTTGTAATGCTTTTGTATTCTTGACTTAAATATGCGTCGAACGACAATTCTCAATCATCTCAATCCGATACTCCGACAACAAAAGATATTCTGTAAACAAGATTTTATCGGTCTTTAACAAATTAAAACTTTTCTTAATAAGAATATTTTTGTATTTTTTTTGTTATTTATGCTACAATTAAATGCCACAATGATGAAATATGAGAAATTACTACAGTTGAAGGTGTTGTTTTAGCTATAGCTAAGAGATGTTTTTGTATGATATAAATATTTAACAATAAATTTGCATTTTAAATTTATTTACCAGCTCTACTCTTTGGTTCTCTTCCGTTTCTCTCTTAGTCTTTTCTTACACTCTTCTTGCATACAATTGCGTTTCAGTTGGGCCTGAGTGATTTTGAGGCCTCTGCATTTCGCTTTCTTTGCTTGCTGCAGTTACAAAGTCGAAGTTCAGTTCATTTTCATATACATACTATGTATGTATACAATTTGTACATACATATGTACATGTACATTTCCTCGTTCGTATATATTCACAGGGGAACATTTGGATCACACATGTTGGTCTTGCCAAAGAGCGAGAGAGAGAGGGCCTAAGGCCGCAGTCCGTGTGTGAGTGGCAGCTGAGATAAGAGCCTTAAGGTTCCCTATTTCGTCCCCATTAGCAGCCGCTCATTTAAGCCGCTGAAATCGACAATTTGAACCGCTCGGGAGGCAAATCGCGAACAGAGAGAGCAACGGTGGAATAAAAACGCTTTGTCTGTAATTTATGCCTAATGAACTATTTCCGGCCAAGTGTCAATTAATGTATTCTGTTTTGGGGCAGCACAACGTGCCCGCACAAACATTGTCACGATCTTTTTTCTGACGGAACTTTGCGATCCCGGCCCCGGGTCCCCGCCCTTCGGACAACAACGCTCCCGCTGCAGTTCGCTGGGGCCACCGCTATGAGGCCTGATCTGTTGGTCGTCATCAGTTACTACTTGAGCCATGCATTTTATGATTGCCATAATCAAATCAGAAGGTCGTATTTATGTAACAGGCAACTAGGTGAACCCTAAGGGACCAAAGTTGGCAGATAGAAACCCAAGATGGTTGCATACAACCATACAACCATTTCAGGAAAATGCGCATGTAAAATAATATA